TATGTGTGTGTGTGTATATATTTAGTAGACAAAAATAAACAAAGTGACTTTTCGTTTACAGTGTTCAGAATCATATGCAGTGACCTGATGATTTATTTTTTCTAGTTATATCAGAAATATTTCTGCTTAATGATAAAAAAAACTTACAGTCTTTGTATATTTACAGTAACAGATACATTTCAAAGGCTCTGAGTTATTTTAACTTAATAAACATGTGTTTCAGTAACAAGTTTGCACTCAGCTCTCAAAAGTTTTTATGTTTACATCTTTAAACTTTGGTCTTTTACACATGGAGTCAGTTCAGAGCTTCATAATAAAACTAAGAATGTAGTAAACCCTTTGAAAACTGTAATCGTATTAAAACTGCTCTCATGCAAACGTCCACGTGTTACACATACTTCAGTGAGTTTCAAAGAGAACAACCCATGCCTTTAGTTTTCCTTCACCGTGGGAACAGTCTTGGTAATGTTGTCAAGCCCTATGGTCAGAGTTTTTGTGTCAAAGTGTGGTCAGAGATCACCACACCCGGCAGGACTGGGCTCCTCGGTTCATCACTGATGACTCGGGACAGTTGAACGCTTTCTGGAACTCCTTGTAGTTACTCATGGCTCCAATGACTCTGCATGACAATAAGATTAAATCAGACTGGAGGGAATGATTTATGAGTGGTTGTGTGTGCACTGTGTGAATCATCACCTGTATTTTGGTGGACTGTGAGCTCCATTCTGAATCTGCTCTCTGGCTGCTTCTGGTCTATAGGAATTACATCTAACCTGCATGATACAGACATAAAATAAAAAAAAACAGCATTCCTTAAAGGAATTCATATTGTCCACCACTTTTCATGCCACAGTTTTAAACAAATATGAGCAATCTGCTTCCTCAAAGCATGTGCCCAGGATGACTCTCAGACAGAACACCACATATGAGTTCAATATCTGTCAAACTGCTCAAGTTAGAGCCACATTGTCACAAATTGGGGTGGATCGGACAAGCACAGACTCAGAAAAAGGTTTAAAAGTTTATTTTTAAAAACCGGCGGCGTCTGGCAGGAGGTTCTGGTTCTGGTACTGGTACCGGACCGCTCTGGGGGAGACAGACAGATTAGTGGCTGTAAGCAGAACAGCGTAAACAAGAATAAAGCCACTAATCTTTTGTCTCTGGAACCAGTCTGAGATGTGGGCCAGGTGGGTCCCGGTACTGGTCTGAATCTCAGGAGCTGGTAACATGCGCAAGGGCGCACAGAGCAGCAGCGCGCAGCGTGAGCACGAACAGGTAGTGAGGCTGGATGGGCGAGCTGTGAAGCTGAGGAGTTTAAGCAGCAGAATTTTATCCAGGGGCAGGCAAGGGTCAAAACCAGAGAGGAATGCAGCCAGGCAGAAGAACCAAAAGGGGAATCCAAAAATCGTGGTCAAGGAGGAAAAGTAGTCGACAATATGGTCAGATATAGGCGAGGAATCCAGTTCGGGGGCAAAGGTGAGAATGAGAGGTCGTGGGCAAAGCTATGGTCGAAAACTGTGATACTAAGAGGGAACGCTGGATATCTACGGGAAGAACATATAATTATTTGGCACCGACTGAGGAGAAACAGGGAGCTTAAATAGTGAACTGAACAGGTGTTGCTCATGAAGGTAGATTGCGGTAGATGGTGGAGGGGGCATGGCACAGGGTGACAGGAGCTGAATGAATGAGAGGGGAACCAAAACTAAAGCAGAAAAAAACGTGAATGATCTAAAAACAGGGGCTGTGGTATGAGGAGAAGAGGCTTGAACAGATGGGGGGGCAGCGGGGGCCGCTGAGCGTGACATAGCCCCCCTTTAAGGTCCGGCATCCTGACGGACCACCAAAGAAAAAGAACTAACAAGGACCGGGCGGGTGGAGGGGGCACTGGAGGTGGGCAAAAAGGCAGGTTGGAGGTCCAAAGGGACCTCCAGAGATGCCCCAAAACTCGTGGACAGCCTGGCCACTGTCCAAAAAGTGGCAAAGTCCAGGTCAGATGGCCGTGTAAGCCTTGCTGGGCCCAGACCAAAGACAAGACCAGGACCAGTGCCGCACCAGGCAGGAGGATCAGAGCTGCAGCCCACATGGATGTCTTGGAGACTGCAACCAACATGGGGGTCCTAGGGGCCGTGCAGCCGACAATTGGGGTCCTGGGAACCATTGCAGCCGACATGGGGGTCCTGGAGGCAATCTCAGCCAACATGGGAGTCCTGGAAGCTCCTGCAGTCGACATGGGGGTTCTGGAGGCAATCTTGTCCGACGTGGGGGTCCTGGAGGCACTCTCGGCCGATGTGGGGGTCCCGGAGGCAGTCTCGGCCGACGCGGAGGGCCGTGGGGCTTCTGCGGCCGACGTGGAGGGCAAATCTTCTGCGGTAGTGGAGAGCGCCACCCCCTCTGGAAACTTTGAGCGCTCCGGCCCCTCTGGAGACTTGGAGAGCGCCAGCCCCTCTGGAGACTTTGAGAGATGGAAGGGTGCTGCCACCAACATGGAGGACTGTGGACCTGGCAAGGGGGTCTGAGGGACAGACATGGAGGCCTGTAGGGGTGCTGCAGCCAACTTGGAGGCCTGGGGAGCTGCTGGGGCAGGCGACGTGGAGGCCTGGGGGAGCTGCTGGGGCAGGCAATGTGGAGGCCTGGGGAGCTGCTGGGGAAGCTGGTCTGGGACTCTGTGGGACCGGGGCAGCTGGTCTGGGACTCCGTGGGACCACTCCAGCTGGTCTGGGACTCTCTGGGACCACTGCAGCTGGTCTGGGACTCTGTGGGACCGGGGCAGCTGGTCTGGGACTCTGTGGGACCACGGCAGCTGGTCTGGGACTCTGTGGGACCACTGCAGCTGGTCTGGGACTCTGTGGGACAGCTGGAAACGTTTGGGGCAAGGGCTCTGAGGGCGGAGGGGCGGGACATCGGGAGGACCGGCGCATTGTGCGACTATGGCTCTTCTGAGGGCGAGGGACTTGGCAGGGAGGAAAACGTTTGGGGCAAGGGCTCTGAGGGCGGAGGGGCGGGACATCGGGAGGACTGGCGCATTGTGCACCTACGGCTCTTCTGAGAGCGAGGGACCTGGCAGGGAGGAAACCACAAATCCTCGTCTTCGTCCGACTCGTCCTCCTGATCACAAAAGGGGAACGGGAACTTGGGCCTTTTCATGAGGCGGAGAGCCCAACGCTGGGCTTCTTTTTTCTCCGCCTCACCCAAGAGGACAGGCTGAGCCTGAGGGAAACCGCCCGGCTTTATTGCCAGGCGGGTGCCCATAAATTGGTTCTCCAACTTACCAGAACACCACCTCCGATTCTGTGCTGGATCCATATTTTGGCCAGATAATTCTGTCACAAATTGGGGTGGATCGGACAAGCACAGACTCAGAAAAAGGTTTAAAAGTTTATTTTTTAAAACTGGCGGCGTCTGGCAGGAGGTTCTGGTTCTGGTACTGGTACCGGACCGCTCTGGGGGAGACAGACAGATTAGTGGCTGTAAGCAGAACAGAATAAACAAGAATAAAGCCACTAACCTTCTGTCTCTGGAACCAGTCTGAGATGTGGGCCAGGTGGGTCCCGGTACCGGTCTGAATCTCAGGAGCCGGTAACATGCGCAAGGGCGCACAGAGCAGCAGCGTGCAGTGTGAGCACGAACAGGTAGTGAGGCTGGATGGGCGAGCTGTGAAGCTGAGGAGTTTAGGCAGCAGAATTTTATCCAGGGGCAGGCAAGGGTCAAAACCAGAGAGGAATGCAGCCAGGCAGAAGAACCAAAAGGGGAATCCAAAAATCGTGGTCAAGGAGGAAAAGTAGTCATCGATACGGTCAGATATAGGCGAGGAATCCAGTCCGGGGGCAAAGGTGAGAATGAGAGGTCGTGGGCAAAGCTATAGTTGAAAACTGTGATACTAAGAGGGAACGCTGGATATCTACGGGAAGAACATATAATTATTTGGCTCCGACTGAGGAGAAACAGGGAGCTTAAATAGTGAACTGAACAGGTGTTGCTCATGAACGTAGATTGCGGTAGATGGTGGAGGGGGCATGGCGCAGGGTGACAGGAGCTGAATGAATGAGAGGGGAACCAAAACTAAAGCAGAAAAAAACGTGAATGATCTAAAAACAGGGGCTGTGGTATGAGGAGCAGAGGCTTGAACAGATGGGGGGTAGCGGGGCCGCTGAGCGTGACACACATTTTCTCTGTTTGCTACAGTAGATTAGCTGTGGTGGCCATCTTAAAATGCAATGGCTCCAAATGTACTTCTGTTGATTACCTTCTGATAGTTTATTTAAAATCTATTAAACAGTCCATGAGCTTTAACATTTCAACAGACAGACGTCTAGATGAACACGCTTGCTTAGATGATTTTCTGCCTATTATGGCACAAGTATGATCACTTACTGACTTTTTATACAGGACATCCTTTGTGCACATACAAAATAACAATGTTCACACTCTTGAACACGTCATAATTCATGTGCTACATTGTATTTTTGTTTGCCATGCTTGGCGGTTTATTGATTATTTTATTAATTTTATTCATTGTCTCCACCTTCTACTAGGTCACGAGGCACCAGATTTAGGAGAGAAACCCAGACATCTTTCTCCCCAGAGAGACTCTCCAGCTCCTCCTGGGGGACCCTGAGGTGTTCCCAAGCCAGACACACAAGCCTTCCACTGAGTTCTGGGTTTGCCCCGGGGTCCTTTCCTAGTGGGATATGCCCGAAACACCTCTTAAGGGAGGCATCCACCTCAACTGACTCCTTTATTGAATGCTTTGTTTTATTTTTGCACTGCAGGTTTCTCTTGCAAATGAATCAGTTGCGCCTCAATGTGACTCACCTGTATAATTAAAGTGCATGAATACAAACTTACTCCATTTAATTTTCTAACAAGCTTCTTTCAGTACTTACTGTGAACTGTTTTTATTTCAGAGATCAATACACTGTATTGACTGTGTATTCATTTGAGCCACTGTGCTAAAAACATGAAACATTTGAGAAAAATTGCACCTTGGCTGTGACAGTACAGTTCAGAAAGTACGTATGTGTATCCTTACATGTGCGTAGCTCAGGAAAAACAGTTGATTGTTGCTCAACTCCACTCCTGGCAGCAGAGGCTCCTCCACACCTCCTCTGCTCTCATCCACCCACCGCCTGTAAGCCTACGCTCAAATATAAAAAGAAACATTTCTCACCTTGACTTCCTAATGGGATGGGTAGAGGTGAATCATACTTAAGTGGGTGTACCTAATCACAGCTGTCTTTGTTTAAAATACAATAGGTCAACATGTATGCTCCTAGAGAGGTCCATTAGGCAGCTCTTTAGATGATTATTCTCTTGAATCACGTACCCTGAATGCTTCTCTTATTCCCCCGTTGTCTGCTATGTTTTCTGCTAGTGTTCTCTTACCGCGCACCTACGGCACAAATCATTCACGTGTCACATCAGACTGAACTGCGAGCTTCTAACATCTTATTAATATTCAGACATACATTTTTCTGTGCTCATTACCATTACAGTGCTGTGAAAAAAATGTTTGCCGCCTTACTGATTTCTTAATTTTTTGTCATTTTTGGTCACACTTCCATGTTTCAAATTACCAAAGATAATCCGAGTTAATACAAAATGCTTAATTACTGGTTGTGCCACCATTGGTGGAATCAACTGCAGTCAAGTGTTTGTAATAATTTGCAAAAAGGCTTTTTTTTTTCTTCTATCCATTCATTCATTCATTATCGTTACCCACTTATTCCTTTCTGGGTCACAGGGGTTGTTAGTGAGTTGAACATCACATCCGTTTCTTCCTTTTCAGGTCTCTGGGGTCACTGGTGCCCATGTCCAGCAAACATTGTGCGAGGGGCGGGGTACACCCTGGACAGGTCTCCAGTCCATCACAGGGACACATGGAGACAAACGAGACAAACAAGCATTCACTCTCTCACTCACACCTAGGGACAATTTAGAGTTCCCAGTCAGTCTAACATACAGGTTTTTTGTCTGTGGGAGGAAACTGGAGTACCTGGAGAAAATTCACGAATGCACGGAGAGAACATGCACACTCCACTCAGAAAGGCCCCCACCTGGGATTTGAAGCTGAATTTATGGTTCCATCAATTATGACATCATGCAGGTCCTAAAAATGCAAAGCAGCCCCAGACCAGCATTAGTTTTACGTCTGGTGTTTTGAGGCACAAACCTTATAAAAATATGTCAAGGTTCATGCTCAATAATCCTGGTAAAAAAAAAATCCAACAATGTTCAGTCAGGTCATCTGGACAGTTTCTTTTTTTTGTTGAGAGATGTTTCACCCTCCATCCGAAGGGCTTCATCAATCTGAGGAGTCACAAACAAACTGTTTTCCCACTTTGGCTGTGGCTGCCTGTGAGGAGTCAACAAGGGAGAGGACGGCCCGCAAAAACCATCTTATCACCAGCAAACTGGTTCCACTAGCAGTGTACTGCTTAGTAGGGAAAACAGTTTGTTTGTGACTCCTCAGACTGATGAAGTCCTGCGGATGAAAGGCGACACACACACACACACACACATATATATATATATATATATATATTTTTTTTTTTTATTTTTTTTTTTTATTTATTGATTTTTTTTTTGGTAAGTTGTTTTGATGTGAAGCATTTTGTGGGACAAAGATAAATAAATGAAGAAGAAATCTTGAAGGGGGCAAGTACTTTTTTCACAGTGCTGTAAGTAAAATGACAAATATCAAACATTGTATTTTCTCACATTCAGGCCAGATTCCTCCCAGTAGTAGTCGTTGTACTGATCAATCATACACTGAGTCTTCTCAGTGAAGGCCGCCACTGATGACATACTCCACCACTGGTCCAGATTACCATTTTTGTCATATTTGCGACCTGTTATAAGCAGCAATGAAACCAAATGAATTGAACCAGTGAATTATATTACATTGTAGAGACTTTTTTTGGAAGTGATCGTTGTCTATTAGCTTTTACCGTTATTGTCAAAGCCGTGAGTTAACTCATGCCCAACTATCACCCCAATGGCACCATAACTTAAAGATCTGTGAAGCAAAACAATAAAAAGAGGAATTAGTCACAAACAGTAGAAAAACTTGTTGTGGAAACAAAGATAAAAAATGATGGGGAAATTAATCCAACAAAAGAAAATAGATTTAGACTTTAAAATATATTTGAAAGTGATTATATTCCCAGCAAACAAACTAGATGACAGTTACAAAGAAGCCACTAAACAAAAAAAGCAAACACTTTTTTCATATTTGGTATATTTTAATTTTATCATGCCAGGCTTAGAGCTTTATGCTAAAAGACAAAATAAAGCATTTAAATATTTTCTCTGTTAATATTATTAACATGTTACCAGCTGGAGATGCTTAGGTTAGGTTAGGTTCAGTACAGTCACAAATTTACTGATATATATTATTGTGTGGTATCAGTGGTATTATGCAATAAGAAATATTTACAAATTAATTTCATTGAACACTTTAGAAATGATAACTTTTACTTATAGCTTTTAGAGGGTTACAAAAACTAGCTATATCAGACTATATATATATATTTGTTACATTCTTCTAATATGCAAAACATTAAGAACTATATCATCTGTAAGTGTGATACATAAAATATGTTAATACATTACACAACACTAAGGTGAAACTAAATTTTATAAAGCTATGTGTCCAACATAATAGTATTTCCTCCAGTCATTTAACAGTCAACAATGGTGTACCACAAGGATCAGTCTTAGGACCCACCCTCTTTACAATCTACATAGCTAATGTAGGTCAGAGCATCCCTGATACATCCTTAAATTCATATGCTGACGACACAATTGTTAATTGTTGAGCTAAAACAGTTGCTAAAGCTTTCCAGATTTTGCAATCTGCTTTCAACATCATAGTCAGATTTGTTCCACCTCAAACTTGTCCTAAACGCTGACAAAACCGAAGGGATGCTGTTTTCAAACAGGAAGTCGGTCCCAGCAGTTTTACCTTTAATTTTATCCTTGAACGATGCACCTGTTTAGTTTCTTGATTCCTATAAATATTTGGGTATCTTGGTCGACTCACATCTCTCTTTTAAGCTTCACGTGGAAAACTTGGTAAAGAAACTGAAAGTTAAACTGGGTTTCTTTTTCAGAAACAGATCCTGTCTAACCCTGAATGCTAGGAAACACCTTGTATCTGTGACTTTCCTTCCCTCCATTGATTACGGTGACATTATTTACATGAACGCTCCTACAAGAACCCTGCAGATGTTGGATGCTGCAGATGTTGGATGCTGCAGATGTTGGATCCTGTCTATCATAGTGCGCTAAGATTCATAACTGGCTGTAACTACCGTACCCACCACTGCACCCAGTATTCACTGGTTAACTGGTCACCATTAACTTCACACAGACTCTCCCACTGGTACATTTTCATCTTTAAATCACTTCCTGGTCTGCTGCCTTCATACATCTCCTCCTACATGTCTCTGTGTGAGTGCAGCTACAGAGTGCGCTCTCAGGACATCATTACCTGCAGTGTTCCCTCACTAAGGACTGAACTAGACAAAAGGACCTTCTCCTACTCCGCTCCTGTTTCCTGGAATATCTTGTAAAAACATCTGAAGCTCTCGACCTTTGACCTCTCTAAGTGGCTTCAAACATCTGTTCAGTTCCTGAGAACAAGCAACGCAGACATGTTCCTGGTTTTAGTTTTCTACATAGCCTTACAACCTAGCTGTTTTTTTAATTTCATTTTTAACACAATTTTCGTTCACTTGTTCTTCTCAGTTTGCATGCTTCCTTTTGTGATTGTGTATTGTCATCTTTGTTGTCTAGTGTCGTCATCACTCTTTGTTAAAATCAGCTCTCTCTTGTAAATGAGTCCCCGAGGCTCAACGGGATTGACCTGTACACATAAAGGTTGAATGAGCATTTCTTTTGTTGAAACGTTTCATCTTTCATCCAAAACATTTAACACGCACAAGACTTTTACTTCAAACCTATGTAAAAGTGATTCAAACCATTTTAATATTGGGAAGGTTTTTATTTCTTCCCTGCTGTGGTTTCAGGTTCTGTGGAGCACAAAAGTCTGCCCTCTGGCCAAGTTGAGCTTCTGTGACTTGTGTCAGGAAATTTCAGGAATTACTTTTACTGAGAAAGTACAAAAAAGGCTTTACAAGTAGAGCGTGTCATATTTATTCTATCTCACCTTGGATACTCTCTACCCCAGAAGAAAGGTTTCTGGAGCTCTCCAGCAGGGAATCCTACAAAGAGAAAAAGTGACTTTTTAAATTATCTTTCTCTCTTTTTTCTATTTTAAGATAATTTTACTTTTACTTTGAAAAACCCTAAAAACGGAACATAAATCTACCTCAGTAAACAATTCAGACAGTAACCATATCTTACTGATTTGATTTGTTGAGGAACTGTAGAAGGCGTTCACGGTTGTTGGGTTTGTAAACCACCTGAAAATGAAATAAAATTAGTTGGACTGTAAAACACAAGAGTCCTGCAGCCTTTAGTCCCTCACTCTGATCGTGGGACGCTCTTTCGCAGCCACGAGATGTCAGCCTGGGCGATGAAGGTCAGTGTCTGCATCACATTACCGTAGTAATCCTTTTCATTGAACTCTAGCTAAAAGACACACAAAGGAAGACACAAAACTTTATTTTCCCGTCAAAGTTACCACATCATAGCACTGGTTCATTTACTTCCTCTTAAGAGTTTTTTTTTCTGTGACCAAGTGCAGAAACAATGTTTTAACCACATTTTACTAACAGATCTGAAATGTCAGATAATGATTATTGTGTTTATCTTTGTAAGTGGTAATTTGTTGTCTCCATCTGGGTTTTAAAACACATAAATCAAAAGAACAACATAAAAATAATTTAAAAAAAAGAAAAGTACACTATTTTACTTGGCTAGAACGATCAGCCACCTTCCATTTGTGTACAAACCTGCTGTAGATCTTCACAGAGGTACGTATCGTTCAAAATAAACTCTGGATATCCAACCTTAGCCAGGACTGCATGAGCCTTTAGTGTAACAAAGATAAACAAAAACTTAAAAGACAATAAATAAATAAAAAAGCACATTTTTATAGTCATGATCATTGTAATATACAAAATGCAATAAACGCTAAGAGTGTGCTAAATCCTTCCTTTCAAACCTGTTCACAGGTAAAAGAGCGGTGACAGAAAAGAGCCAAACAACGTTTGAGCTTCCCAGACGTTGGACGTGACACCTCTGAAGTGAGGCTGTGAGCAATATTTTACTGAAACATAACTATTTGGACTGATGAGCTCATGGCTAGTTTGAGCAAGACTCAAGTGCATTATTGTCATCTTAAAACAACTAAATCATCAACCCTTTCAAAGATTAATTTATAAATCTTCCTTCCATCCGTTTTGTCTTAAACAGTTATTTAGACAAGAACATGTTCTTACAAATGTTAATAGCAGCCACAGCAGCAGCACCTCCTGTGCACCCTTGGGTATAACCATGGTGTAAAAAGTTCATGATATGATGTTGGCATAACTTGCTATGACGAGCTAATCCATCAAGTTAGAATTGAACTTTATTTCTCCAAACTAGGTCCAACCAAAGAACTTTCAACAGCAGGTAAGATATTGATTGCTCACACAATTTCCACAAACTCACAAAAGATCTGATTTACCAGAATATAATAGTTTTGTTATAAGGTCATTAAAGCATGTAAAATATTTGTCATAAAGTCACGACTGGTTTGTTTGCTAAGGCTTATGAATAAGTAAGTAGTTTAACACTACATACATTAAAAATACAGTGAAACTAAGAAAACTTTAATTAATACTTTTATTAGAAAAAGGGGAGGTTTGAGAAAACGTACCAAGAGCACAAAATCTTGAAATAATTTATGAGCAAACAAATCAGTAAAAGTGCTCCTCACATACAGTCAATTTAAATTTAAGCATAACATTCATATTATTATAATGTTCAGACTATCATCTTGTATAATGTCCTAGTCTAAGTTACTGACAATTAAGCTTTGTTATTTGTTCCAGTCAAAACTGGTGAAAGGAGCCAAAAGAAAAAGTAAAATGACAAAACTCAAATGACTGAGTGGTTCTCTGGTGAATGTTTGGAGCTTGTTTTTAAGGCTGTGCCTCGTGGCCAAAAGTGCTGAAATCTGGCTACAAAACACAAAGATGCAGAGAGAACTAGACTTTTTTATTTAAGTACTGTAAACATTAAAACGTCACTGTCTCAAACATCAGGCTTCTCTGCTGCTTATGTCAAATTATGGTTATGATCCAACCCTGTCCCACAAACACTTTTAATAAAGTTACCTTCTCAATGGCTCTCTTTTTAGTTTCTTGGTCCATCCAATCATTCTCTTTCTTCAACATGTCAGTAAATGCCCATCGAACACCATCAATCAGCTCTTCCATCTAAAATGTAAATTTAAATTTTATACATAACACAAATTATTAAATAAAACACAAATATATATATATGAGGGAAAAAGCTATACAGCTGGAGACTGTTTTTAAAGTGTTGTGTGTGACTCACACATTAAAATATAAAAGCTGTGTGCTCCGTCTAAAGGTGGCGAAATGTCTTTTTAGCATATATTTGTTATCTACGTACAAACATCAAACAGATTATTTCAATATTTAAGACCAAGTTATATAAAAATCATGCGCACCATATGTTTCTTGTCCTCCTGGAAGTGGGTGTTGACAAAAAGGCGCCCGGTGGCGTAAGCTAGGGAGTTCTCAACGTAGTTGACACACTTGTCCCAGCGAGGGGTCAGAGAGGTGGTCCCAGTGGTGATCTGATGGGTGAGCAGGATTCACAGACACAAACGTAGTGAAGTAGTTTTATACACATACACACAGATTATTAGAGCTAATGAAAGTTTTTCAGAGTGTGAGAGATCAGCGTAAGTTTATTTATGAGTCCAAATCAGGAAATTCAAGTCATAATGGGAAAGTTATTTGTAATAAAGACAGATATTTTTATAATTTAAATGTTTTATACTGAAACTGAACTTTTACTAAATTACAAAAGACAACTGTGAAATTAAGTATGCAACAAAAAGCCAGTATTGTAGCCCAACATTAATGTAAATCTTGAAAAATGCTTAAATTACTATGTGACAGTTCTACCATTTATTAATAATCAATTGTAATTTATAATAAACTTATGTGTGTGATTCAAATAATGTAAAAAAAGACCGATCTTAATGTGTCTAGTGCATTATGTTTAGGGGTAAACATGTTCCACAATATCAAATCATAAGTTGAACAGAGCCGCCTGTTGGTGTGGTCTGTGACTGCAGCGACTTACACTGCATTTACACTGAAGCTTCAATAAACAAATAATGCCAAATGTAGAATAATATTAAACGTGGGAATTTATTTCAAATCTAATTCTTATGAACATAAAAGTTGTTTTCTCCCAGAACTTCAAAATGTACTAAATTAAAAAAGGTTCAAGTCGTCTTCCATTCAAACAGTGAATAATCAAATAACGTGAAGCGGTTTTCATCAGAAGGTAACTCTTCCTCGCTGTTAGTCTGCCACACATGTTAGTAGATGCTGGAGGGACCAACCCGAGCATAGTCCAGGTATCTGTAGAGGAATCGACGGCTCAAAGTGGTGATCCTGGAAAAGACGCTCCTCCATTGGACGTAGTTAGCTACTGTCCTAAAGAGACACGGAGACATCCATTAAATGTGATGTCATTATACAGAATAAAGCATGTCTGAAGAACAGAGCACTCAAGCAGGCTCCACAGCGTGTCTGTGTGGGTTTACACGTGCACTGTTAGCTTTTAAGACCACTTTAGAACAAATTAGAACATTTTAGATAGCAATAACTTCAAAAAACTCAAAGAATTATATATTACTGAAATGATAAAAAAAATGAATGTATCATGATTAATAAAAGTCATACATCTTCTAAATATTGCTGAATTAACAAAACCTGAGATAAGTCTTGTTTTTTTGTCATGAGAAAACAAAGCACATGTCGATAGCTCAGTAAAAGTATGCACATCAATACTACTAGCGTCTTTTTTATGTCTACCGTGAAATGTTTTTATTTCTCTTTCTCTCTGAGTGATGTCATGATATGTCAGTATCTACATATCTTTTATTCAGGATGTATGACATACTGTACGTAAAGGGACGTTTTCAATCCCTGGGTCACTGCCAAATGAAAAAATATGTCGCTGAACTAATTATTACTTGGAAAGAAATGAGAAATGTTCTGGGTGCAGTATATCAAGAGTAACAACAACCGGCGTGTGGAACATTGTGCTTCAGTGGTTGCACATCCCAAGACACAACTGTGAACGCATTTATTCCAGAATTAGATGCACGTTCATTTTAATTGCTCATTTTGCCTCTTTTCCTCACAGCTAGTCTGTCAAGACAAAAATAAGCTACAAGTCTAGTTTCTTACAAGCCAGGTCGAAAGGACAACAGTGTTAACATTCTCTTTAGACACTATCATTACTGATTGATGTGATGGTTAAAGTAACCACATGGAAAGGAGCCAGTTGAGGTGTTTAGGCCATCTGGTAAGGATGCTCCCTGGGCGCCTCCCTAGGGAGGTGCTTTGAGCATGTCCGACTCGGGGGAGATACTGGAGAAAACGCTGGACACGCTGGAGAAACTGTGTGTCTCGGTTGACCTGGGAATATCTTGGAGTCCTCCCAGAAGAGCTGGAAGAGGCTGTGGAGAGAGATGTCTGGACCTCCCTGGTCAAGCTGCTGCCCCCGCGACCCGACTTCAGAACAAGCAGAAGATGATTGTTTGATGGATGGAATGGATGGATGGATGGATGGATAGATGGATGGATGGATGGATGGATGGATGGATGGATGGATGAATGGATGGATGGTAGGATGGATGGATGAATGAATGAATGGATGGATGGTTGGATGGTTGGATGGATGAATGGATGGATGGATGGATGGATGGAAGGAAGGATGGATGGATGGATGGATGGATGGATGGTTGGATGGATG